CTGCTATCGTCAATTCAATTTAATTTTCTTCAAAGTAATGTTTATATCAATCCTGGGTAACTGGCATTTTTGAGACAAAAGTTTTATAATAAATAAAGAGTATGTTGTTGTGGAATTGGCCGCGGTGGTAGTGCGTCCGACTCACGATCGGAAGGTCGTGTGTTCGATTCCCGCTTCGACCAGATATTTTTCTCGAGAGAATTTATCTGGAATGATTCTGCAACCGTGTTAGGAATCACACGTTAAAAGGTAAGACCTCGTTAGTCCTTAGTTCGCACAAGTTTCTCAACTTATGAGAGTTGACGTTCGTATGGGGGCGACAGCTGATTAACGGTAAAGCAGATTTTAAACAGATTTTTTTTTTAATTTTCATGAGGCAGAAAGGGTATTTAATGCAATATTTCCTGATAATCCGATCTGCCGAAAAAATCTCAGAGAATTGTTTTAGAAATTTCAAACAACTGAAAGTGAAGCTGGAGCTAGAGGAGCTGGGAGAAAATCTATTTCGAGCTACAAACATATAGAAATCGTTGCGTATGTAGTGAATAAGTCCTTGCAGAATAATGTCTCAACTATCACCGTTAAAAAATACCTCTGAATACATAATACCCCTATAGACTAAAGATATTGCATGAAGTAAATAAAGATGACCCTGACGTCAACGGCCAAAGTATGCAATGTTGGTCAGTCATAAATTCACATATTTTTTAAAAAGGTCACACTCCTGAGAAAATAAATATCTTGGCAGGAATATCGAGACCTCATATTGTTGGTGGATCATATTGACCGGTGATTCGTATTTGGAAATACTTCATTCAAGAAATTGTGGCCAACAATCAAGATTAATCCGAAAATCAAGTTGTTTCCAACAGAATGGTGTGACCCCAATTGGTTAGACCTTCTCATTCATCGGATTTGACTCCTCTCAATTTTTCCTTTTGGGCTATATCAAATCAAAAGTTTATGTTTGGCAACTCGGATAATATGGAAACGTAGAGACAGGATTACCGAGACTTGTACTAG